TCGAAACGTCTGTATGTATGTTTCTTTAATGTTATTGTACGATAAACATATAAATATTGTATAGCACAGACATCGACTTCTTTGCTTTTTTATATATTGATAATTTGAATTTTACTCGTTGGAGCCTAACATACTACGTGTATTTGTTAAACTTAAATAAAGAACTTATTTATTTCTGAATTTCGCTCATCCGAAACGATACTGATCATCGAATAACAACTTATAGACAACTACATACGACATATACAGATATAACATTTACTTTGCAACCAGGTATATACGTAAACACATCTTGTCAGAGGAATGCTTATTTCTTCGAATATTCGATATGTTCTGCGCGGAAGTTGTCCCCCATGTGTTGATGAGCTACCTTTCACGTTCACCTTTTATTAGACATGACACGCAAAATTGCTATCAAAGGTTTATGTCGTACGTAGTATTTTTCTTTATTACACCTGCTAAAATATTGATTCGTTCCTCATAACGAAGACAAGAGAAGTTTAGTCAATTGTATATTGCCTAAGGTAAAACATTGCCTAAGGTAAAACTTTGAAAATTATGGCATTCGTGTGGAAAGATTACTATAGTATTTCAAAAAGGGTATTGTTATTCTGCGGTCAGTGGCCTTATCAGGAAAAACGAGCAAGGCTTTTTCAATTGAGCACGGTGACTTTGGTGATTTTTTCGCAGACTTTTCCACAGGTTCTTTATAAAATTTTAATTATAATACGCAGTATACATAAAGTATCTATCTATTAAAATCGCTTAAATAGATGACGTATAATTCGATAAAATTCAGGACTGAATTCTTTTTATCATATTATAAAATTATTATATAAAAAATGTATTTCAAAATACACGCTTATCGAAATACACGACATATGAAATTAAAAATAGATTTATCCCGCGAAACTGCATCATAAATCATCTAAAGTGTGTTCTAGTAAGTGTACTTCTAGGTGGCCCAAATTTTTAACTGCGATGGAAACGCGCGATGTATTCAATTGACAATACCAGTGCTTATGTTGATGGTTGTATTTCTGGTGAAACTATATACGTGCCAATTTAATAGTAACAAAGTACGCCAAAATTTATATTTAATCGGAAAATATTTATTCAAATTTCATTATTCTTTGCGATCGTCGGACTCTCCCAGAGATTTTACATTCATTGAGGATGTTTTTAGATCAAAAGTCTCACTGACTTCCTGTGTGACGATTGGGAGAAGTTGAATAGCAAGGAGGAATATGAAATTATGAAAAAGTATGCCACGAACGCAAGATTGATTACTTTCGCATATGTCTGTAAGGATGAATCATTCGATATTATTTTTATTTTAATGAATGACGGACAATTATTCGTTTTGTTGTAGTATATTTGTACGTGTTCAGCAGTGCGTTCATATTACTTCCCCTTGTACCCAAATTGCTGAACATTGTATTACCACTCAACAAATCCCGACCTATAACAATGCCTTACAACGTCTATTATTTCGTGGACGAAGAGAAATATTATTTCTACATTATATTTCACATGTTTGTGAGCACAATTATAGCTCTTGCGGCGGTAACCGCACACGATTGCACATTTTTTATTTATATTGAGCATGTCTGCAGCCTTTTTGCTGTGACTGGGTAAGAAAAACAATTTTTTTTACGTTGTTTCTCTCACGACTCATTGAGAAATCGAAACTGTCCCTTAAATGTTCACAGATTTCATTTTGAATCTTTATCACGTAAGAATCGTAACGACGCGAATAATCTTTCGCATAATCGGAAAATCGCTGTCTCCATTCATGTACACTGGCGAGCTTTACGGTAAGTGCACAATATTGCAGTATGTAGAATGTACTATAGATTTAAAGAAAAAATGACCAAAAATTGTACTGATATAACACAAAATTTCTACCACAAAATTTGTTTCCATTGGACAGTTTCGCGAAGATTCTTGAAGACATCTTTTGCATTGCTTTTGCAGTACAAATGCTGATAGTTGTTGTAACATTGAGCATTTCTCTGGTACAAGTACGTATATATCTATTTGTTGTTATTATTCAACTTGGTATCTGCATATTTTGTGCGATGTCGTTCATATTGCATTATTCGTGGTTATATAATTAACAGCACTGTGCAACGTTTTTTGAACGTTCTCATGTTTCTGACATATAATTCTGATAGGCTTTTCTTATCGATTATGAAACTGTATTTAAAAATACTCGGGCATGTCATAAGCTTTCGAGAAAACTGAGCGAAAAATAAAAATATTATTTTTTTATCACTTTCAAAATTATTAAAAAAATGGAATGTCATAGAAATTCGATTATTGAAAATCACCTATCACATACTATAAAACAAAATCCTTGTTGTATAGTGTATTTACTGAAGCAAGAGATTAAAATATCGTATTTTTTGCATTTAAGGTTGCGTTACAGTACGGCGACATTAAAGAAATGTTTAGGTACCTATCGTATATCTTTGGTCAAATATTACACACGTTTTGCTTCAGTCTGCAAGGTCAGAGATTGATCAATCACAGCATACAATTGCGCGACAAAATGTAAGATTTTATAATCATTTAAATTTAATGGAATTGCAAGTTTGCTGATGACTGAGATACAATGTTGTTCCAGATACAATTCGTACTGGTATAAAATACCTGTGGAATCACAAAAGCTGCTTCTGCACGTTATGCGAAGGAGCATGGAACCTTGTTTTTTGAGCGCTGGCAAGATTTATATCTTCTCATTGAAGAGTTTCACCACGGTAAAGATTATTTACTTTACTATTGTCTCTTGTTTCTTTGAAGATTTTCTTAAAAATATCGGCTCTTATTTTTAAGGTTATGCAGTCTTCGGTGTCGTATTTTACCGTCCTTGCATCCTTCTAATAATTAATAGTCAATATATTATATAATTTGGATAGTATCTGTGCAACCACAATTATATTATAGTAGAGTACACTGTGCAGTGGAAATAATATTTACATTATACTTATTAATTATGAACGACTTATATACTGTGACTGTTAAAATAGCGTTGTTAAATATATTTCTAATTTCATTTTTTCACGGAAGTTACAAATTATGAGAAGGAATAAGCAAAAATGGAAAATGGAGAAATGGGTAAGAAATGATGTATATATAAAATATTGAAATATGTTCATTTTTCATTCGATTTTAAAGATATTAGATAGGAAAATATTGACAAGGTAATAGATTTTTAGTAATGGATTGGATTTTTATTTAAAATATTATATATATATATATATATATATATATATATATAATTTTTAACTGATAAAATTCGATTTAATGTCAAGTCAAAATTATGCATCATCGGTACTAGCGGGCACGTCATACAAAGTCACAGAAGCTAATCGTGAAAGTTATAATGAAGAGTGTACAACCGAGTTTTTTAAGCGCCGACAAGATCTATATTTTGTGGCTGGTTAAGCTAGTTAAGCCTATTCTACAATGTGCTTTTTGTTTTCTGTTTATCGCTTTTTGCTATTTTTTACCTTTTGTCTTTTTGGTTCTTCTGGTTTTTTGTTTTATGTGCCCGAGATAAAAGTTAACGAACTTCGGAAGCGGTCCATTTCATATTTTATGTACTTGGCGTCGCGACACTACTATGTCCAGGGTTGGGTATAGCACCTAGATAAAACATTAAAAGTTAAAAAGAAGTTAAAATGTTAATAACTTTTAACTTAACTTAAATTAATTTTAGAAATGCATTAATTATTAACATAATTTATAATTACTTTTAAAATTTAATTTATTAACTTTATGAAATTAAATTTTTTTTTCGCTTTTAATGTTAATATTTTTTCTTAAAATCTTAAAATCTTAAACATTAGAGAATTAATTTAGAAAAAGCAACAATAATTTTGTGTAGAGATCCTGTATAATAAGTCTCGCCATATGGTTGTCAGATTTGATTGGATAACTAGATTTTGTTAATTCTCGCTTTTATTTGACTCATACGAATTTTAGATGCTATAAATATTACATTTCAGCAACATAAATATAAAATGAGTCTCAGATGAAGAATTATTGTAAAATAGTGTTACATCCAACCATTTTCTGAATTTTTACATATATTTTTTATAACAAATATCTAGTCAATATAGTCATAAATAGTGTGAGTATTTCAGAACAGGTTAGATTGAAGAAAGAGAGATAATGCAAATATGTCCTCTTCTCTCTCACAAACAAAAACGCCTTATGCGTTACCCTCGCTATAAATAAATTATATGTGAATAAAAAAATTAAAATTATCTAAATTTATCTTATAACCTCTCCCCCCCCCTATATTGCAATTATTTAAATTAATTTCATTTTAAGAAAAAAATTATAAGACATACAGACAAACTAATCTCAAAAATTAATAATTGTTTTCAAAATTAACTTTTTTTTAAACTTAAGATTTAATTTTTTGTTTCTTAAACTTTTAACTTAATTTTAAGCCATTAACTTTAACTTAATTTAATTTTAAAAAACCGTTGACTTATCCAATCCTGACTGCGTTATTCAATATAGAAAAATTTAAAAAAAAATACATATTGAATGTTTAAAATAATTGTTTAAAATTATTTTAATAGTATAAATATATTACATTCAATATAGTTTGCTTATTTTTTAATAAATTTTTAATAGATTGACATATACTATGTTTGAATTATATATACATTCCGTTCTTAGATACATACATATTAAATGTTTAAAATAATTCTTTAAAGTTGTTTTAATAATATGAATGTATTACATTTAATATATGTTGCTTATTTTGGTTATTTTTTAAATAAATTTTTATTTTATATATATATCACATTCTCAAGAGATTATGATTAATTCAATCTGTGAAGCATAAGAATCTCGATATGAAGTTAAGTTTAAGAAGATATTGAATTATAAAATCTGCGATAAATTTTTATCACACTGAAGATGATCTGATGTAAAAAGATCGAAACGTCTGTATGTATGTTTCTTTAATGTTATTGTACGATAAACATATAAATATTGTATAGCACAGACATCGACTTCTTTGCTTTTTTATATATTGATAATTTGAATTTTACTCGTTAGAGCCTAACATATTACGTGTATTTGTTAAACTTAAATAAAGAACTTATTTGTTTCTGACGCTCGTCCGAAACGATACTGATCATCGAATAACAACGTATAGACAACTACATACGACATATACAGATATAACATTTACTTTGCAACCAGGTATATACGTAAACACATCTTGTCAGAGGAATGCTTATTTCTTTGAATATTCGATATGTTCTGCGCGGAAGTTGTCCCCCATGTGTTGATGAGCTACCTTTCACGTTCACCTTTTATTAGACATGACACGCAAAATTGCTATCAAAGGTTTATGTCGTACGTAGTATTTTTCTTTATTACACCTGCTAAAATATTGATTCGTTCCTCATAACGAAGACAAGAGAAGTTTAGTCAATTGTATATTGCCTAAGGTAAAACATTGCCTAAGGTAAAACTTTGAAAATTATGGCATTCGTTTGGAAAGATTATTACAGTATTACAAAAAGGTTATTGTTATTCTGTGGCCAGTGGCCTTATCAGGAAAAACGAGCAAGGCTTTTTCAATTGAGCACGGTGACTTTGGTGATTTTTTCGCAGGCTTTTCCACAGGTTGCTTATAAAATTTTAATTATAATACGCCGTATACGTAAAGTATCTATCTATCTGTTAAAATCGCCTCAATAGACGACGTATAATTCGATAAAATTCAGGACAAAATTCTTTTTATCATTTTATGAAATCATTGTATAAAAAATGTATTTCAAAATACACGCTTATCGAAATATACGGCATATGAAATTAAAAACAGATTTATCCCGCGAAACTGCATCATAAATCATCTAAAGTGTCTTCTAGTAAGTATACTTCTAGGTGGCCCCAATTTTTAACTGCGATGGAAACGCGCGATGTATTCAATTGACCATACCAGTGCTTATGTTGATGGTTATATTTCTGGTGAAACTATATACGTGCCAATTTAATAGTAGCAAAGTACGCCAATACCACAATTTATGTTTGATCGGAAAATATTTATTCAAATTTCATTATTCTTTGCGATCGTCGGACTCTTCCATAAGATTTTACATTCATTGAGGATATTTTTAGATCAAAAGTCTCACTGACTTCCTGTGTGACGATTGGGAGAAGTTGAATAGCAAGGAGGAATATGAAATTATGAAAAAGTATGCCACGAACGCAAGATTGATTTCTTTCGCATATGTCTGTAAGGATAAATCATTCAATATTATTTTTATTTTAATGAATGGCGGACAATTATTCGTTTTGTTGCAGTATATTTGTACGTGTTCAGCAGTGCATTCGTATTACTTTCCCTTGTACCCAAATTATTGAATATTGTATTACCCCTCAACAAATCCCGACCTATAACAATGCCTTACGACGTCTATTATTTCGTGGACGAAGAGAAATATTATCTCTATATTATATTTCATATATTTGTGTGCTCAGTTATATCTCTTGCGACAGCAACCGCACATGATTGCATATTTTTTATTTATATTGAGCATGTCTGCAGCCTTTTTGCTGTGACTGGGTAAGAAAAACAATTTTTTTTTACGTTGTTTCTCTCACGACTCATTGAGAAATCGAAACTGTCCCTTAAATGTTCACAGATTTCATTTTGAATCTTTATCACGTAAGAATCGTAACGACGCGAATAATCTTTCGCATAACCGGAAAATCGCTGTCTCCATTCATGTACACTGGCGAGCTTTACGGTAAGTGCACAATATTGCAGTATGTAGAATGTACTATAGATTTAAAGAAAAAATGACCAAAAATTGTACTGATATAACACAAAATTTCTACCACAAAATTTGTTTCCATTGGACAGTTTCGCGAAGATTCTTGAAGACATCTTTTGCATTGCTTTTGCAGTACAAATGCTGATAGTTGTTGTAACATTGAGCATTTCTCTGGTACAAGTACGTATATATCTATTTGTTGTTATTATTCAACTTGGTATCTGCATATTTTGTGCGATGTCGTTCATATTGCATTATTCGTGGTTATATAATTAACAGCACTGTGCAACGTTTTTTGAACGTTCTCATGTTTCTGACATATAATTCTGATAGGCTTTTCTTGTCGATTATGAAACTGTATTTAAAAATACTCTAGCATGTCACAAGCTTTCGAGAAAACTAAGCGAAAAATAAAAAAATAAAAAATTGTTTTTTATCACTTTCAAAATTATTAAAAAAACGGAATGTCATAGAAATTCGATTATTATTGGAAATCACCTATCACATACTATAAAACAAAATCCTTATTGTACAGTGTATTTACTGAAGCAAGAGATTAAAATATCGTATTTGTTGCGTTTAAGGTTGCATTACAATTCGGCGACATTAATGAAATGTTTAAGTACCTAACGTATATCTTTGGTCAAATATTACACACGTTTTGCTTCAGTCTGCAAGGTCAGAGATTGATCAATCACAGTATACAATTGCGCGACAAAATGTAAGATTTTATAATCATTTAAATTTAGTGAAATTGCAAGTTTGCTGATGACTGAGATACAATGTTGTTCCAGATACAATTCGTCCTGGTATAAAATACCCGTGGAATCACAAAAGCTGCTTCTGCACGTTATGCGAAGGAGCATGGAACCTTGTTTTTTGAGCGCTGGCAAGATTTATGTCTTCTCATTGAAGAGCTTCACCACGGTAAAGATTATTTACTTTACTATTGTTTCTTGTTTCTTTGAAGACTTTCTTAAGAATACCGGCTCTTATTTTTAAGGTTATGCAGTCTTCGGTGTCGTATTTTACCGTCCTTGCATCCTTCTAATAATTAATAGTCAATATATAATTTGGATAGTATCTGTGCAACCACAATTATGTTATAGTAGAGACTGTGCAGTAGAAATAATATTTAAATTATATTTATTAATTCGTACCAATTAAGTATACTGTTAAAATATCTTTGTTTAATGTGTTGTTAATCTCGTTTTTCTATGGAAGTTACAAATTATAAGAAGAAATAAGCAAAAATTAAAAAATAGAGAAATAGTTAAGAAATGGTGGTATTTATTTGAAATGTCGAAATATGTTCATTTTTCATTCGATTTTAAAGGAAAGATATCAGGTGGGAAGATATTGGCAAGATAACAGATTTTTAGTAATGGACTGGTTATATATTTTGATCTAAAGTAATACGTAGTAATGTTGATAGTGCGAGTTGCAAAAACAAATGGATTCAAATTCTTAATCAATAAAATTCGATTTAATGTCAAAGCCAAAGTCACGCATTATCGGTACTGATGGGCATGTGAGATCACAGAAGCTAATCATGATGGTGATAATGAAGAGTATAATGAAGAGATACAACCGAGTTCTTTAAGTACCTGTAAGATCTGTGTTTTCTGGTAAGTTTTTTATCATGGTATTACACGCAGAATTAGCATGTACTTATCATAGTGTTTCTTTATCGAAACATAATGCACTTATTTTGAAGATTCGACAAATTTCGATGTCATACTTTACGATGCTCGCATACGTTTAGTAATCCATTGTTTATGCATGTGATGATATCTGGTCGCACTCATCGAGAAAAACAATATCATATGTCTTTAATTCTTCTAATACAGACAAATACTTCTAATTCTATTGTTTATCATTTCTTTATTGAAATTACACATAAATTAATTTTGTTTTATGTATCTTGAATATTTGCGTAAAAAATAATCGTATAAACTGCCTTTGTCAAAAAGGTTAGGCACCTTATATTTTTTCATTTATCTAGAATTTTTTTACCTCCATTATTCGTATTTATTATTACTTATTAGTCATCATTATACATAAATTTAAAGGAATTTTAAATATAGAATAATTCATTGCGAATGCCAGAAATCGATTTTTAGCTAAATCTTTGTACATATAATAATTATTAAAATATGTAATATTTTTTGCCAGACAGCAGCAATAAAAAGAACATAGACAATTCAAATAACAAATTATTATATTTTATTTTTTTTAAAGTTCTTCGTCCTTTACATGACATCTTTTCGTTATAACCCTTCGTTATAAAACTTTCTTTAAAGTCCGTAGTTAGAATATTATTCAAAGTATTAGTTCCTTTGAATGAGTTCCTTCTCGTCATATTAAAAATGTTTACTTTTTATTATTTTAAAAACCTCATTAAATCAGATAAAGCTCATTAAATCAGATCAAGATCTGGTAATAAGATAAATGGCTAAACTTAACAATTATTTTCTGTTGGTGTGATTATTTTACTGAAGAAGATATTTTTGAGACTAGTGATTTTTTTGAATTTTGAAAACTGGCTTTTTCGGATTTCATGCTGTTTTCGAAGCTCAAAATTATCATAAAGAATAAACACTTCATTCAAGACTTCGAGAACATTCAGAAAAATCTGATGAGTTCTCTAAATAATATTTCAACTGCGGAATTAAAAAAATGTTTTGTAGAATATTTAATAACAAAGAAGAGTACTGTGTCATGGAAGACTACTTTGAAAGCTAAAATATAATATAATATTCGGAGAGATCTGTAATATTTTATTACCACAGTCCAGGAACATTATTGTAAGGCTATGTATACTTACATCGATTTTAGTGTCAATCTTTCCAGAGCCACAAACTGATGCTATTTGCGGAATAATTAATTATAATTTATACACATGTAACTTGAAACAATTTCAAATATTAGTTAATCCATACAATCTTATGTAGTATTAATGTATTTTTACATAGAAAATTTATAAAGAAGAACTTACTTATCTTCACTCGTTTCGTAGCGGTACTGAACATTAAATAACAACGTATAGGCAACTAAGTACACGTAAACACATTTTGTCAGAGAAATTCTTATTTCCTTGAACATTTCAATCGATACGTTTTGAGTGGAAAAAAGTTACCCCATCCTCCCGTTGATAAGTTACTTTTCACGTTCACCTTTTATCAAGCGTGTAAAATTGTGACATGTAAAATTGCTGTCAAAGGTTTCTATCGTACATAGTATTTCTCTCTATTACACCTGCTAAAATATTAATTCGTTCCTTATATCAATGACGAGACGAGAAGTTTAGTCAATTGCGTGTTGCCAAAGGTAGAACGTTACTTTGAAAATTATGGCATTCGTGTGGAAAGATTACTATAGTATTACAAAAAGATTGTTGTTACTCTGCGGTCTGTGGCCTTATCAGGAAAAACGAACGAGACTTTTTCGAGTGCATTCGTTGACTCTGATCATTTTTTCGCTGATTGTTCCGCAGGTTCATCATAAAATTTTTACAATTCATTGCACTAGATATAAACAGGTTGCATAAAAAAATTAATTAAAGTACGCAGTATATACGTAACGTATCTATATCTGTTATGCTCACCTTATAGACAATATATTACTCGACGAAATTAAGGATAGATTCTTTTTATTATTTTTAATATTAACGAAACGAATAAAAAATTTATATTAAAATGCACGCGTATCAAAATGCACGGCATATATAATTAAAAATAAAATTTTATCAGATTTTATCCGTGAAACTACACCATATATTGTTTAAAGTTACTTTTAATAAGAATACTTCCAGGTGGCCCAATTTTTTCGTTGCAATGGAAACGGGCGATGTATTAAACTGACTATACCGATGTTTATGTTAATGATTATATTTCTGGTGAAACTATACACATGCCAATTTAACATTATAAAAGTATATCATTAGCGAAATTTATATTAAATATTTGATCGAAAATTATTCGAATTTTTATTGTCCTTTTTTTATCCTTCGATCACGATCGTCTTCGATCGTTGAACTATCCGATATAATTCAACATTCATTGAAGATATTTTTAGATCAAAAATCTTACTGACCATATATGTGACGATTGGAAAAAGTTGAATACCACGGAAGAATATGAAATTATGAAAAAGTATGCCGCGAATGCAAAATTGATTACTTTCATATATTTGAGTAAGGATAAATTATTTCGTATTCTTTTTATTTTAACGAATGATGAACGATTATTTCGTTTTATTGCAGTATATGTTTTTGTTTGCTGTGGGGGATATGTATTATTTTCCATCATACCAAAATTTTTGAATATTGTGTTACCTCTCAACGAATCCCGGCCTGTAAATTTACCCTACCAGGCTTATTACTTCGTGGACGAAGAAAAATATTATTTCTACATTATATTTTACACCTGTGTGTTCGGATCTGTAGCTACTATGATGGTAATCGCGCACGATTGCACGTTTTTTATTTATATTGAGCATGTCTGCAGCCTCTTTGCTGTGGCTGGGTAAGAAAAACTAATTTTTTTTTTTATCCTATCATGACTGATCAGGAGAGCAGAACTACTGCTTAAATATTTACAGATTTCATCTTGAGACTTTATCACTTAATGACTGTAATGATGCAAATAATCGTCTAGATAATCGGAAGATCTATAATCGGAAAATCGCTATTTCTATTCATGCACACTGGCGAGCTTTACGGTGAGTACACAATATTGTATTAAATAGAATGTATATCATACATTTAAAGAAAAAGAGAGAGACAAGAAATTGCACCGAATTAAATACCACAAAATTTGATTTCATTGGGGACAGATTCGCGAAGATTCTTGAAGACATCTTTTGTATTGCTTTCGCAATACAAATGTTGATAGTTACTGCAATATTGAGCATTACTCTGCTACAAGTACGTATCTTCCTATTTGTTGTTGCAATTCAATTATCTGCATATTTCGTGCGATGTTATTTGTCATTCGTGTTGCATTACTCGCGATTATATGATTAACTGCATGTGGTTAACTGTGCAACATTTTAAAATTGTTTTCATGTTTCTTGATATAATTCTGATAGGCTTTTCTGGTATATTACGAAATTGTATTTAAAAATCTCTAACGTATCACATACTTTCGAACAAAATCGAGCGGAAAATGAAAAAAATTGTTTAATTTTAATCATGCGACCTCGTGCTATATAATCGATCTTTCTCTCGAAATATAAACTACAGATAATTTTTTAATTAATGACTTCACAAACGCACTATATTTAAATAATTAACTATTGTTAATTAATTTAAGTAATTAAATTACAGATATTACGACCTTTTCAAATTTATTTGTATTTTCAATTGTGTAAGTTTTATGTTTTACACTGAGGATGATCTGATGAATCGTAACGTTTGTATATTAAATGTTTATGCGACTGAATTAAAGATAAATTAATCGTTAGCAATTAACAACTAGCATTGACTTGTAGTCTTTTTTCTCTTATAATTTTATTTTTTAGAAAATATTGTTCTTTGATCATTCCTCAAGTTGTCCAAAAAAAAATAAAACGAAACGTCTTAAAAATTCATCATTATCGAAAATCACTTGCTATTTACTATAAAACAAAATTCTTGTTGTATCATTAAATCAAGTGTGTATACTAAATTAAGAGAATAAAATCGTATTCGTCGTGTTTAAGGTTGCATTACTGTATGGCGAATTTAATGAAACGGTGAAATACCTGGCGTTTATCTTTGCTCAGGTGATACACACGTTCTGCTTCAGTGTACAAGGACAGAGATTGATTGATCATAGCTTGCAATTAAGCGATAAAATGTAAGACTTTAATCACTTAAAATCTGTTGACAATTTGTTGACGACTGAGATTCGAAGTTGTTGTAGATACAATTCCTCCTGGTATGAAATACCAGCGGAATCACGAAGGCTGCTTTTGTTCATAATGCGAAGGAGCATGCAACCCTGTTTTTTGAGCGCCGGTAAGCTTTATGTCTTCTCTCTGAAGAACTTCTCCACGGTAAATGTTATTTACGAAATTTATGTTACTATATATGCTCCTTTGAAGTCTCTTCTGAGAATACTGGCATTTATTTTAAAGGTTATGCAGTCTTCGGTGTCGTATTTTACTGTACTTGCATCCTTCCAATAATGAATGGTCAATATGTAATTTGGATAGTATTTGTATAACCACAATTATATTATAGTAATGGAGATCGTGCAGTAGAAATAATATCTACATTAATTATGATAGAATACATATTAATTATGATAGAATTATATTACACACTGTTAAAATATACTTTTAATCTCCGTTATTAAATATAATCTCATTTTAATCTCCTTTTTTTACGGAATTAGAAATTATAAGAAGATATAAAATGAAAATGGAGAAATGGGTAAGAAATGGTATTTATTTTAAGTATTGAAATATGTTTATTTTTCGTTCGATTTTAAAAGAAAAATATTAGGAAGGAAGATATTAGGCAGGTAATTGTTTTCTAGTTATAGACTGGATTATATTTGCATCTAAAGGATATAATACATAATAATGTCATTAGTGTGAATTGCGAAAATAAGTGGATTCAAATCTTTAATTGATAAAATTCAATTTAATAAGCCAAAATCATCGTTATCGGCTAGCATGTCATACGAGATCACAGAAACTAATCGTGATGTTGATGATGAAGAGAGTACAACCGAGTTTTTTAAGTCGGACGAAATCTGTACTGCCTGAGAAAGTCTTTATCACGTTAATACGCGCAGAATTATTGTGTGTTTGTCATAGTATTTCTTTTACAAAACATAGTCTTGTTTTGAAGATTTTGCAAACATTGCTACTTCTCAATGAATCTTGACCTATATCTATGCCTTACTACGCTCATTACTTTGTGGACAAAAAAAAATTATTAATTAAGAAATATTATAAATTAAGAAATATTATTTTTACATTATATTTCACATTATTGTGTGCATGCAGGCAGTTCTAATTGCCGTACTCGCACACGACTGCATGTTTTCTGGCATATCTGCAGTCTCTTGCTGTGGTTGGATACGAAAAATCAATAATTTTTTTCTATGTTTCAACATGACTGATCGGGAGACCGAAGTTGTTGCCTAAATACTCGCAGATTTCGTCTTGAGACGGTATCATGTAATAGTCATAATGATGCTGGGAATAATCATCCGAATGACCGAAAGATCTACGATCGGAAAATCGCGATCTCCGTTCATGCACACTGGCGAGCTTTTCGGTGAGTGGCAATATTGCATTAATTAGAACGTGTGCACACATATAAAGAAAAAAAAAGAAATTATCTATTTGTACCTTAAAATTGTTTTCACCTATTGGACAGATTCGCGGAGATTCTTGAAGACATTTTTTGCAACACTGCTTTTGCTATACAAATGCTGTGACAATGACTGTAACAATGAGCATTACTCTACTACATGCAAGTACATGTTTGTCATTGAACTTCAACTTGGTATTCGCGTATTTCGTGTTATTCACAGATTATCTTACGTTACTCACACTTATATGATTAATAGTTAAGAAATTAAAGAGAGATTAAAATATTGTATTTTGTCGTTTTCGAGATCGCGTCTTACAGATTAACGAAATTGGAGAAACGCTAAAGTATATGATATATATCTTTGCTCAAATGTGTGTTACAAACGTTTTGCTTCAGTCTGCAAGGTCTGAAACTGATCGATCACAGAGTGCAATTATGTGATAAAATGTAAGACTTTAATCACTTAAATTTGGTGAAATTGAAAATTTGCTGATGACTGAAATACAAAGTTGTTGTAGATACAATTCCTCAGGTATGAAATACCTGTGGAATCACGAAAGCTGTTTCTGTTCGTGATGCGAAGAAGCATGCAACCCTGTTTTTTGAGCGCCAGCAAGATTTCTGTTTTCTCTCTGAAGAGCTTCTCCACGGTAAATGTTATTTACGAAATTTATGTTACATGTTCCTTTGAAATCTTTTTTAAAAATACTGGCACTTATTTTAAAGATTATACAGTCTTCGTATTTTATCGTACTTGCATCCTTCTAATGATCAATATTATACTTTGGATAATATCTGTGTGATAGTAATGTCTCTGAAATAATAATTATTATTGTAGTAGTAATATTGTCAGTTTCCTAACTATATGTCCATCTTTCTTTAACAAGATATCATCTTGCTGCAAGTACGTATTTATTCAAGATAAAATTGTTTTCCATATAAAAGTTATTAAAAAAACATTGTTTTTTTTATATCAAAGATCACCCAGCACAATGGCAATATTTTAGAGTCAATAAGATTCATATTGTATCTACATTATTGCTTTGAAAATTATGACATTTGTATGGATTGATTACTACAGTGTTACAAAAAGGATTTTGTTGAAGAAATGGATAAGGAACAGTAATATTTATTTTAAGTGTTGAAATGTGTTCATTTTTTGGTTCAATTTTAAAGGAAAGTTATTACGCGAGATAACAGGTTTTTAGTAATGGACTAGGTTTTATTTGCATCTAATATAGTACATAGTAACGTCGTTAGCGCAAGTTGCGAAAACAAGTAAATTCAAAACTGTTAACTGATGAAATTTGATTTAACGTCAAGCAAAAATCACGCGTTATCGATACTGGCGAGCATGTCATCTTGCTCAAAACGGTCATACTATACTTGTCAGTGATTTCTCGATATTATCATTACAAAAAAATCAAAATCGTCAAAGTTAAGCTCGAATAAAAAGAGATAAGTCTTAAATATCTTAAACATTTAATCTGATAACTTACTCACCTATATTAATAAAATCTTTTTCGTGTAAGGCGAAAGTTGTATCGTGAAAATATTATCAACTTTCTCCAAATATTTTATAGCAATTAAAACGAATGTCACATTGCAGCGTCAACGAGTACCATTCAGTATATCGTTTGGATATTTCGTAAGAGTTTTGGGATCGTCAACACTTTCTTCATAAATAAAAAAATGTAACAAGAAGAAAGGCCGAGAGATAGATTCGACGATATCATAAAATCGACGATAATCCTGGCTTTTATTTCGATGACTCGTAATGTTGAACTTAAGACCGTAAGTTTTACGATCTAACGGGGGATATGTACGTGGATATATGCGCATATGTTGCACGCAAGACGAAATGTCTATCGCATTTTCATCGCATATCGAGCGGTATCTTTGAATGTTAGAGAATATATCATGTATCTCTTCGATTTACCGATCGAAAGGAAATTTGATTTTGTTATTCGATATAATAAAATAGATAAAATTTTTCAAAACCACTGTGCTTTTGAATGATAAAGTGCTTTTGCACCAAGCTTCCACCGCTCAATTGTACGCTGAAGACACGAGGCAATGAAAAGAGAACCGGCTTTTTTCTTAGCTTCTTTCGAAGATAAAAAACGGCACCTATCGTTTTCGAATCTAACGGCGCCTGTATAATGCCCTTGTCACATGATCTCTCTTTCGTTCCTCTATAATTATTATAGTAATAGTATTGTCTGTTTCCCGATTACGTTCGTCTCTTCCTTTAACGCTTAGGCGATCGTGCGATCGTGATAAAGTGACATTAGAAAAGATCGTGACGACCTGGCTTGGATATTTTCACATTGCGATTGTATGAATGTATATAACTGTCAATCGTTTATATATATACACATTTTTCCGTGTACGTCCGACACTAATATTATTCGTAGTGTACGTGTTATTTTTATATATTATATATTATCGCGTGGATACAGTATAACGATATTTGTATATATATGTATATATAGATATATCTCTACTTTATATATATATATATATATATATATATATATATATATTTATATGTTGTATATTTATATATAACTCTGGGTATAAATAATGCTTACAAAAATATTAATTTGGGAAGGCAAACTTTCAATTATAAGTCCGTTAGTCTCGAAATACTCACGAATGCAACAATAACAGTGGCCGATTTTATCTACAATACCGAAATCATAAAGAAACCTCCATCCGCGTCTCTCTAACTCAACACAAGTCTCCGCGTGCTAATTAGTCTCCCATCTTGGAGTACGGCCCTAGAATCAAATCTAATTATTTCTTCAATATCTCGAAACCCTTTCCCTTTCGATGTTGTATTCTTCTCATATCTCATTTTTTGCTTCTTTTTTTCATTCTTTTTGAATTAAGTTAACAGCTGCCAAGAACAGCAGTAACAATAAGTTACTAATTGTTATCGTACACTACTTACAAACTTTACTTACAAACTCACGTATCCTAGCGTACTATTTTGCTAAATCTTTTGGTAAATTCGACGCCAAAAAAAAGGTTCTGATATGATCAGCGGTTATCTCCGATATTTTTGAATATCGTTAACATGTGTTTGACTGCGTAGATATCATATCGTAACAAAGAATGACTTTAAAACAAAAGTACCGAGGAAATATATATGTTAATGAAACATCAATATCTTAGTTGATAATCTACTAATATACGGATAGTAACTCTGATCACACGAGAACCCCATTACGCCACGCCGCAAACACTGACAGTTCTAACATTTATCCTAACAGCGTTATCAATTAACATCGTTAGACCCAAAAAGGAAGACTCTTGTGACGTTTCTTCACTTCCTGCTGTGGACGCTTAACCCTCTCGCCTCTCGAATTGCTCGGAACGATAAAAATCGTTTGACGTTGCACAAAACCTTTTAATCATATTCGCCGAACTCGGCGAAAGTACTTCCGTGCGACAAATCGCATGGATTTAATTAGAAGTCTCATTCGTTGTATCAGTAACATTTCGCGACAGTTACGTGTGTTATTACGTGTGTTATATGAAATTACATATAGTGCATAATTCGAGCAAGATCAATAAATCTTTGATGTCGAAAATTAAATGAAGAAATTCATTAGCTAGTAACTTTGAAGGTATAAATTTCCGTATCAGCAAAATTAAAATTTAATTACTAAATCATTAAAAAAATCGATTGTTAAAATATCTTAAAATTTTCATTCATCGTAATAAAAAACTGCAAATATGCGCCTGCATAATAAAGAAATAAATAATCGTAAAATAAATTGTCTCATAATTACCTGTAAATAATCGCGTCGTAAAAGATGCAGGAGTTACAATCATGCGTGCTATATACATGTCTGTTCTTCACTTTTACAATAAAAAAAGGAAAAAAAATTAAAATTCCTTTCAACAAAAGTCTCTTCTGGCTGTAACTTGCAGAAATTTTCGTGATGTCAGAAACGATTGGGTTAAACATTGAAAAATTTGGTGCTTATTCTAACGCTTAGTGCTTTGGTGAAAGCTATCCTGGGTCCTGATGCGCCGCGTGGCGTCCTGGACCGTCGACCTTCCTCACAATCTCTCCACGTAGTTGCCCGGGAAGGTGCCGAAGTAGCCGGTTCTCTGACTGGAACCAACATACCATCCGTCGTCGCATTTCTCCATCACGTACACCGTGTCGCCCTCCTTCAACTCTAGCTCGTCGTCGTTCTGCGGTTTGTAGTTGTATAATGCCCGGTATCTGTCGAAATGTAAATATTTATGAGTTCGATATTTGTGTTTCCTGCCATGATAGAATAATCCACACGCGAATGAAAAGATAACTGCTCAAATTTATTAAGACAAAAAAATCGTTAACGCATTCTGTGCCGCGTGAATAACTGATGATCGACTGGACTTTCAATTCAGACTATTAACATATTTTAGCTACACTCTAAAAAATATCGGTATGGATTTCAAACCTCTGGTAATAATATCAACACCATCATGATGTGGATTTAAAACCCATGTGTTAATATTAATACCAACACAGTGAAATTACATAAACATTACATTACGCTATTTTTTAGAATGTATAAAAAGAAACGCGATCATAAAATATTTTCTAAAATAAATTGCTACGTAATTATTATATACCGTGCAATTTTAATCACCAGTGACCACAGCTAATATGTGACTGGTTTTTGTACTGCTATAAATATTGTGAGACACAATACTTATTGTTGTTTAACAAATACATAAATACGATAACGTAGATTATCGGTGATCCACACGTGGATGACAAGTCATATAAAATTAATATAATGTATAAGTTTTCATTCAAATGTAAAAAGTTGCAAGACTCACGGGATTGGTTCCGAATGTGTGTCGATATGCAGAGTTTCGCTGAGTTGTGACACATGTAACTTGCTCCCTCCCATACGTGGCTGAAAAGTACGAGGAGAAAGAATTGTTACGTGTGTATTTTTTAAAAATGTATTTTTTAAAGCTTTTGCTTTATTAGAACTGTCCCTTTCAATGAAAATGGCGTCTTTCGGCCCTTATCCGACGATATAATGAAACGTTACGGGAAGGATTCAATCACGCCGCGGACTAATTATGCCATGACACAAGATCGCGCGATAGTTACCAGTGAATTATAATGGGGCTGGGTTGTGTTGATATTGACCGGGATGGACGGCACGTAATGATGGGGTCCCATACTCATTTTTCCTCCGGACGAGCCGTTTGCTAAGAGACTGTGCGCCGCCGGAGACGCGACCGGTTTGTTCTGAATCGGTGTCTCTAAAATAAAAGAAGGCAAATTTCGTACAAATATCGTCAATTTGACGAGCAATGTTTTTATTAACACTTTATCAGATTTCTTTGTTACTTTTTAACTTTTATAGGAAAAGCAAAACAATGTCATATTTTGACATTGAAATTAGAAAGAATGTAATGACATAATGAATTACTTTATTAACATAACTTTGTCAAGTTTTTTTGTTGTTTTCTTTTAATTCTTACGATTAAGACGGGAAAGCTACTATAGTAGTGCTAAAACAATATTATATCGTGAGACAAAGAATGTAATAAAATAATGAATTATAACAGGAAACAAAAGTTATAAGATTTTCAAAATAAACCCCTGCCATAAAGATTAATCTGGCTTCTTTGATTTAAATTACCTGATCGATGTCCAGGTTCGGTGATAACTTCGACGTAGGAAATTGGGAAGATCCCTTTTCTGTTTCCTATACGCCCTTCGTACCAATTTTCGTCGACTCTCCTTGTTAAGACCACCAATTCGCCTAAACAGATATTGGTAAATATTTCAAAAAGTAATTTACGTTTCTTTCGTTGCCTCGAGTCAAATTTAAAGAAATTCTTCTCGCAACAGTAGTCTCACCTTTCGCCAAGGATAACTCAAGATTGGTCTGGGCGATAAAGTTAAACTTGGCCCGTGCCTGTCCCTCGTGAGCCTTCTTTGGTGTCGTTCGCATCGTACCGTCGTACGGTAGGATCTGTACAGAATAAAGTAATAACTTAAAGCATACTTTGTTGCCAGGTATCTAACTTTCACTTCTCGCATATACGCCTTATAAAATCTAGATTCAACTGGTAATTACCTCGACATAGTTGGAAGGAAACAGTCCGATCATCGCGTTGTATTCTCCCTCGTACCAATTCTTGTCCACCTGTCGTCGAACGAATATAAGGTCGCCGCGCCGGAAAGTCAATTCCCGGGACGACTGGCCGACGAAATTGTAGAGCGCTCTTGCCACCAGACGCGGCTCCGGTGTTTGATCTTGGGATCGACTTCGCTGGCTCAAATCGTCCACGAAATCGTCGTAGCGATTCAGGGGTATGGGCGACTTCTGTGATGGTCTGGAAATTGTTGAAGTGTTGTCGAGAAGATGGAATGGTTTCTCTCAGCCGCGGCGAGACCAGGATTGTCTTTCTGTTTGCTCCGAGTAAATGCTAACTCTCCTCGGCATTGTGATGATTATCGAGTGCTTGCGGTCGAAATGCGCCTCGGCGGAATGTAAATCTATTCTTTCGACATTCTCTAATAGTCTTTAGGATTCATGATAAATCCAGCCAATACGTTTTAGAGTCAAATAGTCGACGACGTTAATTAATCCTACATTACCCGCGTGATTTCTTTCTAGTATAATTGCTTAAGTATTTCTGATATCTCCATACTATATCTCAATTTTCATTATTCTGTTTGACGATTTGATAATTAAATAAAGATTGAAAAATCATTTATGAAAAAAAAAATTACTAATTTCTATCTTAATACACATTTCTTTAAATGCTGCTATATATATAAATAAACATTTATTTACTCAATAAAAAAATTAAGTTGAATCAAATTAGTTTTTGAAATAAATGTATGTTAACACTTATAATAAATATTTAAAACTGTTCAAATAAATATTTATTAAAATTTAGTTTTTTCAATGTGCCTTTTAAATAAAGATAAAGACAAAAAATTGCTTTCAAATTATAAAACAATTAGTGCTAAATATAATAATGTGTAATATAATTAAATATAATAAATTTCATTCATTTAGCAAATTTATAAAACCGAGATGTTTTGGACACTGCGAGTAATGAATGGGTAAAGATTACGGCAGAATTTTATGAAACATTTTCTCTTCGGTAAACTCGGGACTTTCTATTTCGCTATTGAGAATATCTAGGGCTCATCAATGAAATTTCTCTCGACTTTTCTACCTGTGTGCATTCGCCTACACTTTCATTGTAACGCCCGCGTAAAACAACTCACGGTGCACGATGTGTTACGCAACGGCGTTGAATAGCAGGAAATGTTTACGAGCCGACGACCGAGTATGACAGGCTAAAGATGCACATGCCTTTCTCCATACATTATTATTAACGTCATCTTCGAAAATACTCTCGCGTTTGACGGAATGAACGAAGAAGCACAGAAAAATACGCAAGAAGGATACACGAGTCTTCCAATTAGTAACGACATCGTTAGACCGAGGATTTTTGTTTCTTCATCGACGAAGGTAATTCGAGCCTTACTTGAAAAGATGAAGATGATGATTAAAGCTACGATTCGATCCGACGTCACCCTTCGATCGCAGTTTCCCGAATTAAAAGGAACAAAAGGAAAGAGGAAGAGATCCTTCGTTACTTACATAAAATTATCGGTGTGCCTGCGGGAGTCGATGTCGTGCAACTCCTGGAGATACTTGCGACGGCGCTCCTCTTGGTAGACGCGCCGCATGTTCTCCGCGCTGCGACGTGCGAGCTCCTCCTCGCTCAGCGGCTCCTTCGCCTCTGTACGTACCGGCGAGCGATAGTGAATCGTCACCTCACCCTCCACATAACGCCTCGGCGATTCTGCATCAAGCGAGACGCGTTTATCGTCACCGATCGACCTGATCCGCAAGCGGAACGAACGTCGCGTTTGGACCGTTAGAATTTTTTACGTCTCGCACAGGACGTTTCTAATGTACGTACGATATTCTTTATTTCTTTCTATATACAGTCTGTTCAATAAGAACGTGATGCTCATTATGTTACAAAGAGCGACCGTAGCGATATCTTCCTGAACTCGTTTGAATCTTTATTTCATGCTCTTTTGCGCAATATATCCTATCAGCACATTGTGTAGTTTACGTCAGCGAATTTATTATTTTTATAATGAGTGCCAAATTCTTGAAGCGGTACGAGGCAGTGTTTTTAGTGAATGGAATGGCCGGCAATGTCCCCAGATTCTAATCCCATTGAAAATATGTGGTCGTACATGAAGATGAAACTCAAAGGAAAGCCAGTGTACACGGTGGAGCAGCTGTCATTTCAAATTAAGAAGATATGGCGATCTTTGCCAAAGAAATATGCAGATAACCTCGTCGAAAGTATGGAAAAAAGGTGTCATGCAATAATCAGTAATGGAGGTGATTGGACAAAATACTAGGGTAGGTAATTGCGCAATAGCTAATAATGTGTACTTCAAAAAAAAAAAAATAAAAAACTGTTTAAATGTTTATAGTTTTTTGATTATGGCAGACACTTTCTTATTGAACAGACTGTATATATATATTTTTGTGCAATTTAATTTCGATTCGATTAAACTTTGATCCGTGGCACGCACGACGAGATGCGACGCGAGAGAGTGTGGTTAATTTCGGTCTAAATTATTCGATTGATGGAAGCGCGTTTTATTGGGGCGCGGTTTAAATTCGCGTGCCATTTCATCGAGTTAATCGTCGTCGTCAATCGCTCCAGTGAACCCTGTCGTTATTAAAAATGATGGCGAATGTTCCGATGTCGATCGCAGATTCATAATTCGCGACAATCTAAAGTATGAAATACGATCCTTACATCGTGACTTTTTGTTTTCAATCCGTGAACGTTATTGTGATTCGAATTAATAATAAAGAGTATTTTTTATAATAATAAGGACAATAATACAGTAAATCATTTCACCCTTTTTTAACATTAGCAAACAATGGATGTGATAATTCACTGTGTTATACTGTGTCTTTGCTACTGGAAAGTGTCCAATATCATAGTGAATTTCATCATTCTACACTAAATTAGTGTACATTAAAGTGTTGCTTTATATGAAATATCTGCAATGGTATAATGTAATTAACTTTGACAATGAAATAATACCTGCATATTCTGTTAAATAGCGTGACAATCATAATTGAGTAATTTAATTGTTAATAAAATAATTACATGCTTTTACCGCAGTGGATGGAACATAATGTGAAAAGTATTATGATTTATATGCTTTGTTTTGTTGATGACGATTATAAAGTTTAACAGAAATATTTTTATAAACGCTGATTTCTATTCTTGAATCAGTACAAAAGTTCTAACTCGATTTATTATTCAAAATTCAAACAACCGCAACTTCATTAAAAATAAACAAAATTTAAATTTAAAAAAAGGGATTTAAAGCTTAAAATCTATACTTTCGAAAGGTCACTATGTTTTTCTGTGAGTTTGATAATTTTCATATATAGAAAACTATGAGCAGGACAAAATAAGAAAATTTCTTCTCATTTTGTAAACCTCTAACATGCCAAAAAAATTTGCAAAAATTTTCGATTTTCTGAAAATTTTTCCTGCAAAAATTTTTTTTAATGTTCCTGAGATTTTTTATTAGTGAGTTATCGCGGATTAAAAAAAAAACTTCAACTTTGATTCACAACTTCGTAAAAAATCATCGTATCGCAATTAAAAAGAACAGATTCATAAAGTTAAAATTTTGCTCTATTGAATAGTATTATAATTTAAGTAAAACATTCTGAATTTATATGAAAACTGTTTTGAAATCAGGCCAGAGCTTTTGTATTGACTTAATATTATTTGTATATTTAATTTATTATTTGTAAATTAATATCGGGAATCTTATCGTTAGCTTTGCTTCTACACTTAACTTTGCTAATTTCATGTATAACAGCTTTTAGCTTTTAGTTTGCAACGTAACGTAATGTAATGTAATGCAAATGAACTGAATTCGCCATCAGATTATTAAGATCACATTCGCAAGAGACAGGATTTTAGTGTCTCGGCGTCTTTAACGTTTGACGATGTTCAAGTACCGACGGTTATTAGAGCATGCGACAATCATATCCAGCCAGATAATATCATGAAGAAAGAATTGAATCACATAAAAGAGACGACGGTTTAACCCACATCGAGACCACCGCTTATTTATCTCATTCTGCTACAACATATGGCTTCTTCGCGGAGAGAAACGATACTTAAGACGCGGTCGTCGACCGGCACGAGGCAAAAATCTAGATACGGTGTCTGAACATGAGTTCATATAATGCTCGATTACATTTGATTACGCGCACGTGATACAACATAACTAAGTATAAAACATAGTACAGTGAATCTATTACATAGTGCCTATTACACCGATATTTGCAAAATTATAACGACAGTTATAATGACCCGGAACATGTAGAAACTTCCGTTAAATATCCCTGCAAGTAGCTTTTAACACATTTACAGGCGATTATTATTTATTTATGCAAAAGCACGTAGGAACTAACGACCGCATATCGATTCGCGTGACGCGTTTCTGCCTTTATCTCTGTTCCTTTTCTCCTCTTTTATCTCTCAGGAGTATTTAAAAACTAGGAAGCTCCGTATTTCAGATGCGAACAAAAGCGTTTTGCACGCACCTGCTTTCGTGCACCTATCCACGCGCTGCGCGGGATAATGACGACAGTTTATCGCGATGCAACAGCACGCGCGTGCATACCTGCAGGCACGATGCGTACTCGCGTATGTCGGGCTGCAACGAGACCGTGCGACTGATAAAGTGGAATACAGCTTGCAACCGATCAATTCCTATAATAAAGCGCAGCCGCGATGACACAGGTCGACGTAAGCGTCGCGAAAGTTCGAACCAGCAACAAAGTCTTTTAGGGCATTATTGAACCGTTCGAAATGAATTGCGATAGAAGTTGTTCTGTTTTTTTCTTGGTTCTAGAAAATACAATACACTGAAAAAAAGAGCGTAATAGCCGTCAAATGTTGAGTGAAGTAATTGCAACCGAGAGACTGTTCGATTAATCCAATAAAAAATAATTTTAGATTTCATTTTTAATAGATTTTTGTTACTGTCTTGTTATTAATATTCTTATAAAGATTATTAGCGTCAAAAAAATTATTACATTGCTTGTTAATTTGATAAATAATATTATTACTCTGATTTTCCTTATAAATGCGTTTCGAGACCGAAAAAGATTTCGGCGCGCAGTTTGCAGAATCAGATATGTGTATAAGTTCACACAGAAATATTTAAGCACTGAAATTCGCTTTAACCAAATATAGGAATTCTCATATTTAATTAGAATAAATTTTACTAAATATTTAGTAATTATTAGTAAACGGTTGGTTATAATTATTACGTCTGGTAATTAAATATTTAGAAAAGTAAAATTATCTATGGTTAAATTAATCGAACATTTGATTGAAATTATTTCATTCAATACTTGGCTATTATCCGACTCTTTTCAGTGTAGAACTCTAGAGAATAATTAAATAATTTCGAGCGGAATTCATTCCAAATAGTTCCATGATACGTACTCAGGTTCCAATCGCAAGGAATTTATTTTTCATTCCGAACAGCTGAAAGTGGGAATCATCGCGATGTACGGTAACAGAAAAATGTCATGAGATAAAAAAATAAAATAAAATAATAATAATAATAATTTTTAAAAAATCTCTTCTATCGGTTCTTTCTATCAGATTTCAAATCACAAACTTGTCCTTCTTCAGTGAAATCTCACTGGATTCTCCCGCGATTCTACAGAACTACTTTGTTTCGTGCCATCGTTACTCGTGTAACCCGATTTGTTAGCGTGTAACGCTAACTCATCACAAATGCCGAAACGAGAAACTGAATTTCAGTTTCTCTCTCTCTCAGAACGCCGCAACACCTTTCACCGCTTTCATTGAACAAGATTCTCACGCGATCGATTCTTTCTCTATCTCTCTGTTTCTCGCGCTTATCCTGTGCCAAGACTATTTTGTTACGGTATCTTATTATTCTTTTTATCTGATCCTCTCCTCATATAATTTAATTTCGATTTACCGTTCTATTCTCGACGCGTTTCTAAAGTTTTTTGCGGATTATGAGAAGCAAACCTTTTGCCTTACATATAACTTGATATTTATGTCGTGTCAATTATCTTTAATCGCTGGTAACATGAAGTTTTAATCCTTTCGTTAGCAATCTTCGAGAAATAGAGTAAATTTTTTATTCAAATAAGAAAAGTGCCAATTACGATCAAAGTTAGATGTTGGAATAAATCTATATGTGTTTTTAAATAAATTTATCTCAGAAATACGTGCCGACTATTTTCGGACTTGCAGCACAATCTAATTGAAACAATATGTAAAACATTTTTTATTGTTCCGGATTATATAAAAATCTAAAAAAATTCTAGTATACTTGTCAAAGCTTCAACGAATTTTTACCATCACAGCAATTGAATGTATTGTATTTTATTAATTTTTTATAGATAAATTAAATTTACAAACAAAATATCGATGCTTTTAAAGATTCCAGTTGCTGGCAAAGGCATTTCAAACTTTTTCTTATTCTATTATATTTTATATAACACAAATTACTTTAATATATCGAAGTTAATATAACATACATGCTTTAATATATCTGATATAGATATGTTTGAAAATACTTTTATCGACTCGAATCTGAACACGTAATTTGAGCTTATTAAGTTTTCTAAGTTAAAACAACGTTCTGGAAAGAATATGCTGCTCTACCTAATTGGTACCATGTTTCTACTTATTTCTCTATTTTTTTCTCTCTTCTTTTCAATCATCGCGCCAACGACACCAGCAAC